TTGGAACTCTATAGCCCCCAGTCAGGGGACAAACTCCAGTCACCACCTACATTTCATCTGATCTCTGCTACCAAACATTCATAAATACTTTTCACTTGCAAGTTTCATGCATGGAGCACAACAAGCTGTCAGCACTGTGGAGATTCTACTACCATCTCCAAGGGCTATGTATCGCCAGTGGGAAATGTACCTGGAGCACAGAAGTCGGGGAAGTCTGTCCACAGAAGTCTTTTCTACAGAAGTCTCTTATTCTTAATCAAAAGTTGCATGCTCTGACCTTGTCAAACCTTTTCTATTATGTTTCTTGTAGCTTAGCACGAGGGCAAGAATGAACTAGTGTGTTTTCAATGATATAAAGCTGGCTGAAAACCTAGGGCAGAGGGTGGCCTCAGAATGCATCCTCTGAGAACCAAATGAGCAAGAATTAAAGCATGACGGATGCTTTGCAGAAACACTGGGTTCCTGGACATGCAGTATTTCCTGAAATGGGCAGAACTCCAAGACCAGAAAGAAAACTAGCCTTAACAGCCAACAAATAAACCAGCAAGGAGACTAAACCTCAAAAAAGGATACAAAATCTACGTCTCCCTAAGTTTTGGATGCAACCTGCCAAACCCCTCAAAATAACTTTCAAATAATAATTTTTGATGGAACAACACAGCAAAATAACAGAGGATAAAACATATTAATTTAAAAAAATATACTTAAATGCAATTTAAATTAAATCAGATTTAGCTTATCTTTTTGGTCAAGTCATTGGGGGAAGGGTACAGGTTCCTTCTTCACTCCAAAGAGGATTGCTTTTAGAAAAAAAGATGTGTGCTCCTGTTCTAAAGGTCCAGGCTTAGGGGATATACTGTACAGTATCTCCTATATACTGTTGCTAATTCTTTGCTCTCTCTGCGAGTCTTCATTTGCTCTCCACAGAGCATCCTCCAATACGTACACAGTTGACTAAACAATGGAAGACTCTTATCCCATGATAGAAGTTTACCTTTTTCCACCTGGGCAGTGATCCAGACTTGATCAAATGTTTGTTTCTTTGTTATATTGGTTTAGAGAGCCTTCTGATATTTGGATTTGCTAACATTCTCATCCAAGGTGAGCCATCTCACATTAAGCAATCTCCTATGCCTGGGAAGAACCATGGCAAGCAGACAAGGACCAGGTATTAACTACATGGAACTGGAGCTATAAGGGATAGTGACTCCTCTCTGTCACAGCTGTGTCTCAATCACAAGAGACCTGATGGAGTGCTTGACTGACAAATCATTAGAATTTACTTTTCAAAATTCACTCTTTTTTTGATCTTGTGCAGTAAATCACTTACCATCCAAATGTGCTGTTATTACCTAGGCAAAAAAGGCAATCTAAGGTTTCAACCATATTTTGCAGTATGATTTTTATAATTCCCAACCAGTTAGTGAGATATAATATCCTAAAATATCAATAGGACATCAGATTGCCTATCTCTGAGTTAGAGATTGATTGGCAAATGGAAGTGCTCTATTCCTAGCTCTCTTGAAGGCTGGGAAACACAATGATGCTCTGGTCACCTACAGTATTTGTAGGTGACCAGGATTTCCAATATTCTTCAGCATGCTTTCTTGTTGCCATCAACTGTGAATAAGGAGGTGGAGCAAAGAAGAGGCAACATAGGAATGGGCAGCTGAAGATGGTAGTTCTCTGATAATACACTTCCAGGAGCAGTCAGTATGGCATCAGAGTGAGTCTACTTCTCTCCTTCCAAAATGGACCCAGCCAATTTGAGTGGTGATGCTGGATGAAAGATTTTTGAGAAGTTCCTGCTACCAGCAACCCAGAGGAAGTAGTCATTTTTTTTAATCAGCAACAGTAGATCACGGGTGTCAAACTCGATTGTGCCACGTGACGTATTGTGACATATCGCAATGTTTTTTGCCTTTGTGGAGCCAGGGTGGGTGTGGCTTGTGCGTGAGGTATCCGGCCCGTAGACTGCCAGTTTGACACCCTTGATGTAGATTATCAGTTCTGTTGTGCTGTAACAGTGTGATTGAGGGACAGAAACTATGGGTGGCCACAGCTATTTTATCTTAGTCTATATCTAAGTAATATATATGCATACCATAATAGGTGGTGCTGGTTTTGTATTAAAGTCTCAAATTCTTGGGTTTTTTTTTTAAATGTTTCTCCTTCATTCTTGAGATTCGATTTTATTCTTCTGATGGTTTGAAAATATATGAGCCATGGCATATTCCAGCTTTCACTAAGGAGTTCTTGCTGTGTTTTTAGTTTATTCATAGAATCTGAGTGAACCATATCTGCATATATAATTACATTTTTATTGCTGTAATTATCTCTGTCATAAAAGGCATTTAAAGGAGAAACTAGAGGTACAGTTGTTGAAGATATTTGGATGGATTTTGGATGTTTTATTGTTGACTGTTTTGTACAATGCCATGGGTTTGCATTGATTTGCTAGTAGGCAGGGTAAATAAATAATTAAAAATGTCCAGAAGAAATCCAATCAACAGTTGATAGATGTTGGATCCCCGATTCTATTGGAACAGACATGTCTTAGGGACCACAAATATCTTTTGCATTCCCGTAATGTTGACTAGTTATGGAGAAGGTTGTACCATGAAAGAGCATAATGAGATTAGGCTCTTTCTCCCATTTCACTTTGCAGCTCCGATCTCCATTATTGCTGATTATCCCACCAACTTATATATTGTTTCAAAGCAAGCTTTATAGTGACAGATAGTAAAAGTAGAAATAAGAGATCACGAACATGCAACTGAAGGGTCCATTGGACAATAAAACAATGGAATAATTCTGACTGAGCAATATTCTCATTAGGTTCTCCAAAGGCTTTAGCACCTTTTGTAGCGTGTGCTGATTTTAGATTGATAGTTGCTTAAGGTCTAGCACAGACTTTCCAGGACTTCATGTGATTTCACCAAGTGAAGGAGAAAGATCAGAAAGGGGGGAGAAATATACAGTTCTAGCCTATTTCACTGGCTAATAGCCTTGGATATGTATCTATGAGCAGGAGCAAAGAACAAGGCACTATCTAGTTCTGACTCCATGCTTGCCATGGGGGGGGGGAGGGGAAATCAATCCCAGTAAAATTACCTTAGATATTCACAAAAAAACCTTGAAATTACATAATGGCCTCTTCGTTTGCTTGCTGTCATATTTGTATTTGTATAATTAAAGAGGGTTTGTTGTTGTCTATTGTCATGATAATGAAATATACTGTAAGTATTTAACGAAGATACTACAGATACATAAAATGAAACCATGGAATTTAAAATATCAAGCTAAAATATATAACAGTTACATAACTGAGCTAATTTGCTATATGCAAAAAAAACCCCATCAGGAATAGAAAGATAGCAATTAATTCTGTCCAATTATGATTTCAGATGATTGAATGAAAATTTGTCCTTCCTCTGTTTTCCGAGGGAAAGGTTCTGTAATTACCTTGGAGTAGAGAGAACAGACTAAACTCAAATTAAATACATTTACACATTTTAATTTATTTTAATCAACTGCAGTCCTACACAAACTTTCCTAAGTCCAAGTTTCATTAAATGGCCTCAGTCCTTAGTAGACACAGGATTGTAATAAGCAGCATATATTTAAGTTCTATTAAGCCGAAAGAGATTTCAATGTAATTTTATGAAACAGTTTTACCTTGTGTTAAGATTTTCTTCCACAGTTTTCATTATTTAACTTCCAATGAAAAGGATGGGTTATAATTCAATAGCAGAGCATCAGAAGGCCAAATCTGGATCCCAGCATTATCAGAAAGGAGGATGAATAGCAGGTCATTATTCAGACCTTGAAGAGGTGCTATAAGAGCAGCAGAATCTGATATGTTGGTTCCCTACATTCTCCAAAACCTGTCGAGTGATTGGCTTTCACACTGAAATGTTTCTAATACGCAACGAAAGATCCCAAGTCCTTGCCCAGTTTGTTGCTTCTACTTACGTTGATTATATGAATTCAAGAGCAGAATTTAGAGTAACAATTTCGTAGCAATTTGTTTGTAACAAACACAAATCTGATCGTCAGCATTTCAAATTTCATCCACTTTTAATACTTGTATCGAGTATTTAAAAAGTCATCATGTATCAAACTGAAATAATTTATGAATTGCTGGGATACAGTTTGTGAAGAAGTCGGAATGGCTTACAACATTATTTGGAGCCAATTCAATTATCAAACTAAAACAACAACAACAAGGGACCATTATACGTAGTTCCCACAACCACCACCTTCATCATCCTCTTCAGAGAAATCTGTCCATTTTTCTTCAAAGCATGATAATAAATAATTGTCAAGGTTTTACCTGGTGGCAATTTTACCTGGTGGCAATTTACCTGGCAGCTTGTTAATTGTTTTAGTAGTTTCAGATGAATTGTTCTTTTGTGATGAAATGTGCAGGTGGAGAAGGACTGGGAGGAATCTCAGCAATTGCACCATGGCTGTCGGGCGCAAAGAATCAGGAACATTTGTGAAGGTTGCCGCATAAATGATTTATTGAGGCCTATACACAAAAATCCAATCAACTAATGGCCAGTGCTAAATCGGTGCTAGATAAGAGTCCATGGAATTCAAGGGGTTTGTTTGGGGGTTTCTTGTGGCAACTGATGATGTGTTTTAGTCCACCCTCAGTTTTGCCTGCTCTTTTTCTACAATGGTTTCCCAAGGAGGAGGCAGCACGCTCCAAAAATCCAAAATAAGGGACTGTGCAGTCCTGAACTGTATGGGGGAAGGAATAAAAGATTTAGAGTAGCCCATATCTATTAGGTCAGAAGATTATAGTTCTAATCTGGTAAGATTCAGTCTATTAGACGTATATAAAAAAAGAACAGGACTCGACTGAATTTCAATGTGTCTTCTTTGGGCTTAGGCCTGATATCTTTCTTTCACCTTTATTTTAAATCCTAGATGTGATTGTGTTAAACCTGAAAGCCATATTGAACCACATTCTACACATACCTGCTACTTACCTGGGCATCGCTGTTCACTACACCGTCTAACCTCATCTCCACTTCCTTCACACTGTTGCCCAGTAGTAGCTGCACCTTGGCATATCCTTATTCTCTTCTCCCAGCCACCATCACAAGACTTGGAACACCCACTCCAGTGGCCCCAGTGATTCCACTGACCATTAGCTGAAGAAAATATAAATATATGTATATATAATAGTTCAATACCACAACAGTAGCTATTACAAACAGACCCACCCAAATGGGTAAAACAGCCATTTAAAAAAGGACAGAACAAAGTTAGTTGAGAAAATACTCCAGAATAGGCATAAGCTAGCCAGAGTTAAGCATATATTTCAGTTCAATGGGAAGAGAGAGAGAGAGAGAGAGAGAGAGAGAGAGAGAGAGCAATTTGTTTGAATCCAGCTGGTAAATAAATTTAAATGCAATATAGTTTTGTCCATATAGTAAGAGCAAAGAGAAGTGGCTGTGCTTGAAAAAAATACAGTAACTGAGAGCAAACCCCACTGAATTCAGCAGAAGTTACTCCTAAATAGGCATGCATTGGATTGCACAGTAAACATATATTGATGGCACCCTCATTTTCACAGCATGATTGTAACATGTAAATATGAAATATTTTAAACAACTACTAGGCTTCATTTACACAGCTATTCTAATATTGCAGCATAATACAATGATTTATTTTTATATATTCAGCAATATCTCTTTGGTTCATCTACTGTAAATTTCTCAATATATATATTTGGTAATAGTACCAAATCAAATAAAAAAAAACTAGGAAAGAATCTTTAGACTCTAATCATGATAGAAAAAAAGGATTTGCTCCTTTGGCTTCAGCTTACAGAACAATTTGCGTCAACTTAACCTTTCAAATATCACCCAAGGAATTCTTCCATTAATAAACACTTTTTAATCCTTGGAAGAATTACGATTTCCCAGCAAAAAGCTATCCCTGAAATGTGTCATATGGTGGATTTCTTTTTCAATATCACCAGTAGGAGGCAGCTTTCACAGATTTTTGCCCTTCCCTTCAGTTCTGAATACCAGCTGCCATTGATTGATAAATAAAATAAAATAAGAAAAAATAAGAAAAGAAAAGAAAATAAAATAAAATAAAATAAAATAAAATAAAATAAAATAAAATAAAATAATAAAATAAAATAAAATAAAATAAAATAAAATAAAATAAAATAAAATAAAATAAATAAAATAAAATAAAATAAAATAAAATAAAATAAAATAAAATAAAATAAAATAAAATAAAATAAAATAAAATAAAATAATAAATAAAATAAAATAAAATAAAATAAAATAAATAAAATAATAAAATAAAATAAAATAAAATAAAATAAAATAAAACAAAACAAAACAAAACAAAACAAAACAAAACCTTAGCAAATCAGTAGCACATTAATCTCACCCGAAAGCAAGTGAAGCAACACTAAACATGATACTGTTCAGAAGGCATTTAGCAGTGCAGTCTTAATCCCTGGAAGTTGATAGGGGAGCAGTTAAAATGATGTTGTGCTGCCCTCTACCTTCCACTGCTAGTAGAAAAAGAACTGGCTTTTATATGGGGAACGGGAGGTGCTGCTGCTGCAGTGATTGCCACCATGGTACCCAGACGTTTCCAACAGTTTTTGCCAAGATCTCTTGTGGCTGAACAAGGGGAAAAACCTAATTTTTGAGATATGCTTGCTGCAGGCATGTCAATCAGCTAAAGTCTCCCTTTCACCCGCTGCTGGCATTATAATAGGTGGAGCTCCCTGTTGAAGGTTTCAGTCAGTTGAAGGTGTCCCCACCCAACTGAAGATGTCCACAGGACTGAAGAAGAGGAGGAGCTATGCCCTGGCATTCTTCTCAACTTCGCCTGGATTTTGTTCCAGTGCACTTATATGCCATTTACTTTAAAGTCACTATTTACACATACAATAAATGTCTGCGTTAACTGCAGCTGATAAAAAAGGTCTTTGCCTTACACAGATAAGATAATGAAGCTGACAGAAAGCAAGACTGAAAGGAAGGGATGTTATCTTTTCTGTAGTTCACCATCACCCAGTGGTGGGATTCAAATATGTGAACGATCGGTTCTCTGTGTGGATGCCACTTCCGGAAGTCCATTCTGGAGCTGGGCAACAAAAAATTAGCTACTGGTTCTGCCGAAGTGGTGCGAACTGGCTGAATCCCACCACTGCCATCACCTCAGGACATCATTAAGGATTGAAAGCGGAGGGCCAAATTCTTTGCAGGCCCTTATAAATTCAAAATGTCCCCATCAATATAGTGGCTTTTTCAATTCGCTCCACCTCTTCTTGCAGTTTGAGGACACGGGTGATTTGCTTTTCAAACCACTCTCTGATTTAAAACGAACCAACACCAACAAAGATCCCTTTTCACATTGCTTATGTCAACATATATTATTCAGAGGAGCACATAAACAAGACTGTGAGTACAGACACTAGAGAATTTTATTCTGCCTGTATTTTTAAGCAAACTGACATGATTTCAGACTAATGTTTTCCCTTTGGACTTAGTTATGTAGTGCAGTTCTTGCTCTGAATGTTTCAAATCTGGGTATTTGGGGAGGAGGTATAGATGAAAATAGACATTACCGAGTAGAATACTTTAAAAAAAAACATTCAGAATAACAATCATTATAAAACCATGCTTTAGATAGCAATAGTACTTAGACTTATATACCTCTTCATTCTGCTTTACAACCCTCTCTAAGCAGTTTACAGAGTCAGCATACTATCCCCAACAATCTGGGTCCTCATTTTATCGACCTTGGAAGGATGGAAGGCTGAGTCAACCTTGAGCCAGTGAGAATCGAACTCCTGGCAGTTGGCAGAGTTAGCTGGCAATATTGCATTCTAAGCACTGTGCCACCACGGCTCTTAAATGTAAATTCTTATTTTACATTATTAAATGTAAATTCTTAAATTAAATGTAAATAAAAGTATTGCAGATTATTTCAGAATTAAGATGCATCAATTGCATGAACTTGCGAATTTTCTATGGCACCACTTCTGGTGTGGTGTTGGTTCACAATAATGCTCGCCCAAACACCGCTAGACACACCCAAGAACTTTTGAAGCAGTTCCATTGGGATGTACAACAAATACGTTGATATTTTCAGAAAGGGAATTTGAAATACTTATGTAAACAACACTGATAAGAGAGAAAGTCCTACACATTTTTAAAAACTGAAACCACTTAATTAATAGAGGACAGAACTAGGAGATAACTAATACTATTCTGATCAGGAAATCTATACTTTTTTTAATCGTGTTATCAATAAATCACTCTATATCTTTTGCTAGAAACATGCAAATTAAGTTCCAAATTAACCTTCTCTATCCTTGGTAGAGACAATCGGAAAGCAGGCTTTGAAAGGAAGCTGCTATTCCTGCCTTTGCTGCTCTGCCCATCTTTAATTTTTAACTGTGATCACAAACTGACAAGTTATTAAGAGCTGTCCTGAATACATTTTTAACTTAGACTGGAAGATGAAAAAAAAACAAAACAAGGCTGTAAAAGCAATAGCTGTAGTCCCCAGATGTCTCCTCTATCCAGTCTTTTGTACTGATCCTTCTCCTAGTGCTAGTGAGAGAAATTCGACTCAGCCTTGCCAAAAAACACATAAATAAGAGAAGACAGAGAAAGAAACAGAGAGAGCCTGCATAAATTTCTCTCCTTTGGGGATTTCACATATTGCATTCCTCAAATCCCTTTCTTTCCTCCTTACGTATTATGGAGTGATCCAAATGTGCTTAATTCCCTCTGCTCCAAACAGGCTGTTCTTTCTATACTTCCTTTAATAAACCGACAATCCTAAAATCTCAAACAAGAGGATTTACTACAAATAAAAGCATCCGAGTAAAAGCAACTAGCAAAATGCTTCCTTTTCTTGCCGGTGAGATTCTGGAAGCCTAGCTTTGTGCTGAAGTTAAACCTGTAGCAAGGAAATTCAAGTCAGGTGTATGTGCAATTTTGAAAGTAAAAATAAAATAAAATAGAAGTGAAAAACTATGTAGAAAATCGTGGAGGAAGAGGGAGAGAGAGAGATGGTAAGTGCTAGTAAAATATAAATGTACTGCTATACCATGTCTGAAATTAACCATTCTAGACAAGAATTCTTTATCTACTAAACTTAGAATAAAATATTTCAAAATGGAATTTTATTAACTTAATTGGCATATGACTTGTTGCGAATTTAAAGCAAAAGGAACTGAACTGAAACTACATGAAGGTATTCATAATGCAAGCAAGTTAATTAAAAAGGGTGGATTACATAAAAATTGTATGGAGAATATGAAGTGTTGGAAGCAGCTGAGTTTAAAAAAAACGAAGGGAAACCAAATAAACAGATAAATCTTAACTATCCCAGTTGCTAGAATTAGAAGGAGAAAAATTATTTTGGCAATATTGAAAATATTCAGTAAAATGCAAGTATTGAACTTCTTAAATTACGATAATTTAAAAACTGCATTTATTATCTCCTATGCAATAATTCTTTTAAAGAGCAATTAAAAGGAGCCAGTCTCCAGCATTAAGAGAGATTCTCTACTTTATTCATAAGACCTTCCAGTAAAGCCTTTAACGTTTCTGAACTTTGAAATACAAAGCCATTCTTCAGTTATATACTGTAATTACAAAGTGATTTCTGTTCCCTGAACAGATTAAACTTCAGCCCACATTTCTTCTGGAACAGGTATGACTGCATGTAGAAAACAAGGGTTGTTTAAACGTACCTTTCATTTTCTCATATTCTTTTTTATATATATATAAAAGTCTGCTCTGTAAATATATAGGAGTAGCCTTCAATAACCCAAGAAGTGATAATCAGAATTTCTTTCTATATATATATATTTTAAAAATCAGTCTTTATCTCACGGAGAAGGTGATTTTGAAGCTGCTATAAAACAATATTGAACAGTAAAGAAGCAATAACAAAAAGGATGCAGCTTTTGGGGGGAAAGGAAAAGGGAAAGGAAAAAAGTGAAATCTCCCTTAAATTTATCCTGGTGACAACAAAGACATAGTCATGTTGTTGGGTTGGCAACAACATGGAGGAGGTTTACTCTGTGTTCCTTTTGGATTTCTTTTCTCCCAAATTCTCAGCCTGGTCTACAGTCCCAGAGTCTTCCATTCAAAACTTAATCAAATCAGACTCTGCTGAATTTTCCTCATGGTTAGCCAAGGCCAACTTGATGCTGATCCCTGTTATAAATTAGTCTTAATAAGCCACTTAGGGCTTTAGAAGGCCAGAGTTTTTCAAGTATGCCCAGAGGAGGATGCCCAGAGTCAATGCAACTACTTTAACTTTGATGATATATGTTTTCTGCACTTGGCCTCAGTAAACAAGGTTACTGCATCTTTGGCACTAGTGGAGTCTGCCGAATAGTTTTCAGTGTATTTCAGTTGGCCTGAGAGACAAGCTGTCCTTTGGATCTTGGGCTCCAATTCCCAGCAGAGTTAGCCAGCATAATCAACTGTTGGGAGTTGTACAGCAGTAATTCCGGGATTGTATTTTTCTCTTTCATCAGAGTAGTCTAAATAAGGTATTAAAAAGATAGTAACTAGTTTAATCTAAACAAGATATCATCTGACGGATAACTGTACCAAGATATCTGTGTCCACAAGGTTTTGCAGCAGATGCATATTTGATATCACAAACTGCAGTCTAATCAAAATGAGGCATTTCATTATTATGGGTCTTGTTGAAGCATTCTTAAATTCAGGCCCTATAACTTGTCATCCCCCCTTCCATTATTTCAGCACTGCTATTCTTTCATTTGTGTCCCACCTTTATTATTCTTACAAATAATTCAAGGTGGTGAACATATCCAACACACCTTCCTCCTCCTATTGCCCCACAACAACAATCCTGTGAGGTGAGATGGGCTGAGAAAGAGTGACTTTATGTTTACTGTTTCTCCCCTGAGGTACTCTAAAAATGAATACAAATGAGCAGAAGGGGGGGAACCCTGATATTGTCATGCATGAAACATGAAGCAACTTTTTTAGCCAAGGATGGTAAGAGTGGTATATTAGACTATGGCAGAAGAAGACCAAGTTCAAATGTCTAGATCACAGCTTAGAAATTGCTCAAAAGCATACTAGATAATCTTGTACCCAAGAGCAGAGGTCCCCAACCTTTTGGGCACCAGGGACCGGTTCTGTGGAGAGAGATTTTTCCGCGGACCAGAGGGTGCGTGGTTTTGGGTATTGCCTGCATCCCGTGGATGGGGCTTTGCTTGTTTGTGCGGACCGGTTGCTGGAATGCCACGGCCTGGTACTGGTCCATGGACTGGGGGTTGGGGACCCCTGCCCAAGAGTATCTCTCTGCCTCTATGACATCCCAGACTGCTAAGAGAATAAAGAATAATACCCAACCTTTTTTCACCACTGTATAAGAAGGGATCGAGAGAATGTAATGTACCTGTACATTCAGAGTTGTAACATTCCCTGCTTTCTGCCCACGGACCTCTGCACTCAGAGCCTCCATGTGCTGCTGCTGTGCACTGCCGGCTTCTCTGCTGGGTGCCGTTGGAGCAGGTCACCGAGCATTGACTCCAAGTACTCCATTCTTGCCACTGTCCATCAACTGTTGCAACAGACGCAAAATAGAAATGAAATCCATTTACCTTTTTAGAGCCCAGAGAGCTTGTTCTTTTAGTATAACTTGTTACTTTCAGTTTTACATTTGGAATTGAGAACAGTGGGACTTTTTTCGTATTGTGAGTTTAATGCTTATTCATATTTATTGATGATATTGATGAATATTATTGTTCTAGATAATTTAACTCCTAACCTGTAAGGGGTACAGATAGTCTCCGGAGTTTAGAAGCCCTGTTTACCGATGTCCCATAGTTAAGAACAGAGCAAAATTTAAGTTAAATACACAATACTTCAGGTTAAATACACACTGGTTTGAATTTATTACACAGTACTATACAATAATACTGTCCTAGTTTACATACAAATGCAATTTAAGGGCAGGCCTTGGGAATGGAACTCATTCTTAAAGTGGGACTACATGCAACATTTGCCAGTCTCTACTTCATTTAGATGCTACTTTTGGTTTCTGGTAGGTGTGGTGTCCGATAGGTGTAGGAGTCCTTTCTTATTCATTTTTGTCGGGACTGATGGCCAAGCATCTCTTCAGAGGGATGGGCTATGTTTTAAATTTAATTCAGAAAACATACTTTAGAACAGAGGTCCCCAACCTTTTGGGCACCAGGGACCGGTTCCATGGAGAGACTTTTTTCTGCAGACCGGAAAGTGGGTGGTTTTGTGTGGTGCCTGAATCTCGCGGATGGGCTTTGCTTGTTTATGTGGATTGATTTCTAGCATGCCGCGTCCCAGTACTGGTCCACGGACCGGGAGTTGGGGACCCCTGCTTTAGAAAGTTCAGGATTGTGAATGCAGCACCTATTTGAGACATATTAAAGACACTACATCTGTTTTCATAGGCAGGTGCTTTGTTCATGTTCCCTCTTGTTCTATGATATCTCTTCTGAACCTAAACAGAAGCACTACAAAACACTACTGCCTTGCAATTTTTAACTTCTTATATAACAATTGTATTCCAGACTCACAAGTAAATGTGATGCTCTGGATGAAGCAGCTCCCTGGCAGGCTACAATACATAGCACCAATGAAAGAGCCAGCAGAGGCATCATGAGTAACATTTTGAACATGACAAGCAAGTGATAGCTTGTACCCCTCTGCCACAAAGAACTACACATCTACCTAAGCATAGGGTGGTGCTCTCATATCCAAAGACTTGATTTATGGCAAGTGGCCAAAATACATTTACTTGGGGATTTAACCAGTAGCACTTGATGTTAGGACATCAAGTGCCACTGGTTAAATCCCTAACTAAATCTATTTTGGCCACTGGCCATAAATCAAATCTTTGGTATGAAGCTTATAGCCTATGGAGTTCCTCTAAGCAGTTCTGGAGCCTTTTAATTTTTTTGTCTCAAATAAAGTATGTACTGTACGAAGCATGTCGCTGATCACTGATCTACTACTGGACAAAAGTAAGGTAAGGTGCATTAAGGAAAAATATGATTAGATGACCGGAAGGTATATTTGCACTACAATTGCAAATGCTGTTTCAATTAAGAAATATGACATGGGAAAGTTAAAATGTGGTATTTACTCAAAGATATAAAATATTTGCACTTTATCCCAATACTAAGCTCCTTCTTCATTTATGTTAATAATGGAAAGTCATTGGACATAATAACTCTGGATAAGTGAAGAGGCTCAGGCAGTTTATAAAGGATTATTCCGAAGAGAGAACTATGAGAAACACAGACAGATCATATAGATGCAAGGCATGTCCCAATCTCTGGTTCTCGCCCTTGGAAGTGTATTTTCATTATAAAATAATAGAAAACAAGAGTGACTATGTGAATGCAGCCTTCCATTTTCTACACAAAAAAATGTCTCTCAAATAACCAACAGTCTTGAAGACATTTACGGTGGACTACCTTCACTGACTAGAAAACTAAAAGAAAAACACAAAATGTCCAAATGGTTGTATCTATTAAGTCTATTTTGTGGCTTTATACAAAGGTGACATCTTATAAACATCAAATGTCATTTATTTCTAGTTCAATGACATTGCGGAATGATATTAACAAGAAAGGTGACAAGCTAAGTAATGAACTCGGAACATAACATTATTTATGAGATATGATTATACTTTGAGAAATCGGTTGAAATGAATAATTAATGAGCCACCCAACATTTCTTGATGCTGTAGGCTTGTACTACATTGTTCTCTTTGTACTTGATTTGTGTGTCTCCTTATAACGTGTCTGTTAAATGGTTATGGCGGTATTCTATCACATGATATTTTTAAGCTAAAGGGACTGTTGTTACCAATGCTTAATAGTGTTAACTACTTAAAACCACACCGTTTTAAGAGCACTCTTATAAATAAATCCTTTACTTTGCTTTATTCTTTTTTCCTTCAGGGGAAAATCACTGGGATAGTAAAACATAGAGATGAGATTTTCTCCCTAATAGCTCATACCAAAAACATCACAGGCTGCAATGCATAGATGGATATAACTAACCATCTTACTCATCGGTACATCAGTATTCAGAGTTGTCATAGATTTCATTTAAATAATCATTTAGTTTGAATCACTTCAGAAGTGTTATCTACTTCCATTTCACTAATATGCCTCACATCCAAACACACTGAACACTGCAACTGAATAATATTGAATACACAGTAAATGGATTAACATAAAGATGATTGATAATATCTGATAGGAATAGACTAATACAGAGTTTTAAAATAATGTTAGTATTAAAACTATGCCTGGAGAATACACTGAGAAGAATGAGAAAGAGATGTCCCTTATCTGACCATTTCTAAAATGGTCATTATTGTTATTTGATTCAGCATCATCTACTTAACCTTACTTTTTGTCCCACAAGCAACCACAATGTTTCTGTTATATGTACCCACAAAATCATTATATACAGTATACAGGGAGCTGCAGAGAGCCGTGTTGTATATGTTACATCCTGTGCCATTTTAGAATTTTTTCTGATTTTTAGGATTAGCTTATATGGTATAAGGGGCTGGAGCAAAAAGGAGGGGAAGCTATATTGCAACAGCACAACTCTGGATCCTATGTGGGGTTCCCAGATCATCCGTTTCACGTCCATATTGTTTTACAGATTAAGCTAATTGTCAAGATCCAAGAGGAATTCTTTGGTCTTTGAGTAGACTGTTACATGTTATTTCATAAATTGCTAAAAAGTATGTCTGCCATTCCACCACCTGACAGTCCTCCCCATGTGTTCACAATAAGTGGTTAGTTGAACCATGTTTAACTGAAGGCACCAAACTGAGTAGGTTTACTAAACAAATTAGTTATTCAGATTTTAGTCTGATCCGCAAGTCTTGCTATTTGAGGAAGCAAAGGAGTCACTGGTAGACCTGGAAAGAGATGCCTTTCTGACAATAGCAATTTTTTTTTTTTACACAGGGGATTATTACTGGATTAAAAAGTCATTCTTGTTCTGAGTTTTCATTTTTCATTCATATACCATGGATCCCTTTAGTCTTTTTGGAGAGAATTTAATGCATAGCTATCTTCCTTTTCCAAGGATGGATTTGTATTTATTTGGAACAAGGGATCTGGTTGCAGCTGATAAAAGCCTTGACATTTGTGTCCTTGGAGTCTCAATTTGAGTTCTTGTTGTGCCTTCCCAAGGATTGCCAGACATGTGATTTTAAGGTCTAAGAAGCACAAATGTCCTGTTTTTCAGGACAAAGATAAGGTTGCTAACCCAACTCTAACCATACGTATTAATTAATTCTCCAGTTTACTCCAGTAATGAATCCTTTATGCAGTTTTTAGGCTCAATGTGTAGAAAATGACAAAAGCAGGCCACAGAGGAAGTACAGAGAGAGAGGGAGAGAGAAAGAAACAAACCTCATAAGCAAAAACAGTCATTCTATGCATGCTCACCAGGGCACAGGGCAATATTGCAAGGCTTATGCTGTGTTTCAGGTCCGTCACATGATCTTCCCCCGTACTGAGGAGGTATACATGACCTCGTCCTAGTTCTTTGGCCTCGACCACATGTGAATGAGCACAGACTCCAAGGTGACCATTCCTCCCAAACTCCATGTACTGTAATAAAGCAAAGAGGCTTTAAAAAGAAAAGAATACAAGTAACAAAATGAATTCAAAACAAGCAGAAGAAATGGTAAGAGGAATTACTTGGCCAACTTCAAAGAGAGAAAGAACGAGTAGCAATTCCACCAGTTACAAATATCGATTAATGCATCTTAGAGAGCACGCTAGTGCTGGATAGAAGAACACTGATTGTTAAGTCAACTTGTGACTCCAGAGCTAATGTTATCCAAAAGAAATCTAATTTAATACAATGTGGAACGTATAGGTTTGAAATATGGACATAGCCTCTGAATCTAGTTTTAGAGAGCTATGAGAATCCTAGACAACCAACAACTTTTCCATGAATGCCATTAATTATTAAATTCCAATGAAGAGAGCGGATCTACACGCCCAAAGCAACTTTAGACACATAATGGGGGTTTCCTCTAGAAAGGAATGTTAATATTATGATTAAACAGCTTCAAGGATATGGTGTTTCACCTTACATTTGAAATAGATTAATAACATATAACTTCTACTAATGAATAGGAATAAATAATAATATTCATATTATAAGTGCTCTTAGAAAAAAAATAAACACCTGGTAACACAGGCTTCTTTAATGTAGCCTTGATAGTCTTCTTATATTACAAAACCATAATGACATAATGTGTATTTAGTAATAATGAACAGTACAACAAATTGATTATCATCAGGTAGATGGATGAGCTTGAAATTTACCCCATCAAGTGTTTCATTTTAATATAAATGTGAACTAATTGATCTTTGACTAGGCTATGCAAACTTGGAGGGGATGATTAAATATTTTCAAAACAGGGTTTTCTCAGTCAAAATGAAATGCTTCAAAAAAGCAGGTGACAATAAAATTAATGTTCTTTCTTTATTTTGTAAAAGTTCAAAGCATGTCCAAGGTGTGCTATAAAATAGTCCTAAACTGGTTTCACTCTAAGGTACTTTATGATAAAATGTCATCTATTTATCACGCTTAAATTATAAATTATTTTCTTATTTCCAGCTTCAACATTAAATTTTATTTCATTGTGTTCATGTACAAATGGCATATTTGTTCATTGATTGTTGATATTTCTATTTTTCTCCAAATAATTCTAAGAATTTATATTATAAACATATAAACAATAAACATAGCCAAAAGAAGTCACCAGTAAGTCCAATTATAATGGGACAAATATGTATCTGCACTCTCTCAAAATGCAGGAAAAAAAGCTCATGAGTGAATGACACAACAAAAATGTTGTTAAGAGGTGAAGGTATTTTAACCTCCAACTTACCAGTTTTCTAAATCCAGGAGTTTTAGTCAATAGACATGAGTGTCCTATATAGTGAAGCTTCATCTGAATGTTTTTTTTTTAATTTTATTTATTTATACATAGTACCCTATAATACTGTATTATCATACTCTGCTAAAAAGGAACAAAATGTATGGTTAAAATGTCAGCTTCCATTTAATGTTATGTATTATTTTCATTGTAGTAAACTATAAATCAAATAAAAGTTTTGAGTTCTATTTGGAGCCAATCAAGAGAAGCAGGGTGAATTTGCTTCAAGCTAGCAGTTCAAACTTAAACAGAAGTATAGGCTAATGCTATTTGGGGTGGAACAACAAAAACATATTTGTTAGCCTTGGACCTGCCAGACAATCTTTGTCTATTGGCAATAAAGTGTAACTGATAGCTTTCCAGATAAAGTTCAGGATGCCTGGAGCTGATCATTGGTAACATCAACCGAAAAATATATGTGTGGGCATAAACCAACACAATAAGTTTTTTTCCTATTCAATAAATGCAGTTGAGTTACCTCAAGCCATAAATTCTGGAGACTTTAGTGTTTTATTATTGTTTTCTCTGAATTATACCTTGAAAAACATGGTGCTCATGTCACTAGACATATGTAAATGAGCAGAGATTGTAAAATACTGCCCTATCATATACTTCCATGGGCGTGTTTTTGTTCCAAGTTCAGATGTCTCAATGTCTCCAGCCAAAATCTCTCTTGTTTCAACCTAGTACATTTATTCTTTCTATAACTGGTTTCATTGGATCTGAGGAAAATGAGGAATTTATTATTGTTCTATTAAGTTCAATAAAGGCAATCAGGTTTGAACACGAATGAAGCTGCTTTGCCGTAATGTAAGTGTACTAATCTTATTAATACTTATATTTTCTTTAAAAGGCATGATTGCTTTCAAATAATGATTTAGATACTCAGTAAATGAAATAATGAACTCCATAATTATCTCTCCAGCCGTGTGAAATCCATCAATCTCTATAAAATATGTTGACATTTATTTTAAGTATTCAGTTCTAAAAACTATTGCATCAGCTCTGCCAAGGATTCCATTTCCCTGAATAAAAAAAAGCAATGCAGGTTTTTTTTTAAAAAAAATATTGCAGCTATACAAGTTGGTCTACCTCAATTCTATAATCAGACAGAATTATTTAACTGCAAAAAGATGCAGAAATTATTCTGTTTTTCTTTCTGTAACATAAGGTAATACTAATAGCACTATTGAAGCCAGGGAAGTTGAATCATGTCCATTTTTGTTTTTAAAATGTACATTTAATAAAATTTGTAAAAAAAAAAGATGCAGAAATTATTTAGCAAAGTGGAGCTCCATTTTCAAGCAAAAAAAGCACAAAGTTTCTGCTGAAAATATTTTATGCAACAGGGGGACGAAATACAAAGTTCATATCCCTCTTACCTTAAGCATTTTAGCAATAATTAGAAAGGTAAGACTGGTATAAATACAGCTGATAAGATTAAAAAATGGCTAGGGATTAACAACTGAAGAGCAAAAAGGATATGGGATACTTCCCATCCCAATCATTCATCATTTCTTGTGATGCTTTTAAATCATATTGTGAAAGATCTATTTATCCCAGAGTCACTGTAAGTCAATAATATGTTCCATTTTAACTGATTTTCATTTCATTTTACCATAGTATGTTCAGCTGCATGGACAGTTTTTCCCAGGGCTTTTTTTCTCATAGAAGGCCCAGAATGGAGTTCTGGCACCTTTTTTGGATGGAACCTTGTAGGGTAGGCAAGGCGGGTTGTATGACGTGTGTGAGTTCCGGCATTTTTTTTTTTATATATAGAAAAAAAGCACTGGTTTTTCCTATATGGAGAGAAACCATTTAGAGACTGTGACAAATCTAAGAGCATGGAAGCTCTTTTTCCAACTTCATGTATGAAGTCCTTCTATCTAGGTAATTATACACAATATATTTGATTTAATCTGGAGGTCAACGTTATAAAGCAATTTCAGATGTTTATTGCGTACCAACCCCCCTATTTAATTAGAATTATCCATTATTAAATTTGGTATGACAAAAACCATGGTTAACTAAGAGGGTGAAATTTGCCGAAGTTAGTAGTGATTAGTTATATTCACTTATTTAAATATCTACATTAGTCCTATTTCCCATATGCATTTTTTCCTTTCTCATAAACAACAGGAAACTGAACAGAAACAGCAGATGAAAATCTGGATTCCCTCAATGCAAACGGGCAGAGCCTAGGCCAGGGGTAGGCAACCTTGGCTCTTTTATGACTCGTGGACTTCAACTCCCAGCATGGCTCAGGAATTCTGAGAGTTGAAGTCCACGAGTCATAAAAGAGCCAAGGTTGCCTACTCCTGGCCTAGGCAATTACTGTAAAAAAAAAATCACAGGTCTTAAAATTGCCAAGGTTGGGGACCCCTGGCTTGGAGCACAAAACAAAATGCAAGGGTTTCAACAGTTCCATGCGAAGTCACTGGAAGCTGTCTTCCGTGCAGTGGTCTATTGGAGAGATATCTGTTGAGCTGTTTTTCCTGGACCAAGACTGATCATTCCACTCTTGCAACTGACTTAAAATGGGTGGAGTGAGTTGGGAGTGAAGCTTTGCAGGGAAGCAGCAGGCATCCTAAGGAATGAACTAAAGAGCACATTGCTTTTTGGATCCACCTATTTCTTCTCTTGTAATCCCTGATGTAGTTGTAATCTAACTACAAAGTAAGTTAGATTTCCTGGGCGATGGCGGAGTATATTCCTACATGAAAATTGGGAGTCTTGTGCATCTGTGGCCTTAAAAATAAAAACAGGAAGAACCTACATGGGAAAAAAAATACTAACACCATACAGCATTGGTTTGATTAGCCTGCTGGGCTAAAGAATGTGGATTGAGTGTCTATCACCGCTGCTGTGAGAGCTGCACTGGTTACCAGTGGTCTTCCGGGTGCGCTTTAAGGTGTTAGTTACCACCTTTAAAGCGATCCATGGCATCGGACCTGGCTACCTCCGAGACCGCCTTCTGCCACAGATTCCCTCCCATAGACCGGTACGCTCCCACAGAGCGGGCCTCCTCAGGGTGCCGTCGGCCAAGCAATGTAGGCTGGCGACCCCCNAATTGGAAACACAGCTGGTAATATTTGGTTTTAATTCGGCTTTTATCGGGGTTTATTTTTTGTATTTCTGTATTTTTGTATTTTGCATTTTTTGTATTGTGTGTATATTATTTGTTTTTAATATGCTGTGAACCGCCCTGAGTCCTATGGGAGAAGGGCGGTATACAAATTAAATTATCTATCTATCTATCTATCTATGTGTGCATGTATTCTGCATGCTACGGCCCCTTGTTGATTTGGGATGCCTTTATTACAATGCAGTGAATCTTCATCTTCAAAAGCACTCTTCATCTTCGAATAATAGATGAACAACTTGAAACAACTGGAAATTCCACAAGAAGACAGAACAATATGCAGAGAGTGCGCCTGTATACCTAAGCTTAGCTACGTATATTGATAAGCTTGCTTTGATTTGGTAGGTTGTTTGAACGCTGGCTTTGTTTGGTGTTTCTGATTTTGAAATGTTTGAAAAAAGCAAAAAAAGAGTAATTCTAGCTGGCTGATTTGCTGAGTTTTTAGTATCCATCATTGCAATATTTTCTGCCTTTAATTCCAGAGACATTAAAATGCAGGATTTTAAAATGCAAAGGATTGTTGATTGGGTTGCTCAGCTAATGTGGGGAACGTACCCCGTTCATAGTCTTATGGATTATTTTGCAAAGGCATGGCTGAGCTTGTTGCTTTGACTCATGTGAGGACTCTTTCTTCTGTCCCTTTAGCACTTCAAGGGTAACAAGAAGAGCTGTTTTGTCACCGAGGTTTGTACATGACTCATGTTTACTCTTTGATTCTCTTTGCAATTATGAAGTTAAAGCTGGCAGTCAGTCAGGGAGGATTTTTTTAAAATATACTTTGCAGGATAGGCTATTCTCTTGAGCAATAGCCCTTCCTTCCTTCCTTCCTTCCTTCCTTCCTTCCTTCCTTCTTTCCTTCTTTCTTTCCTTCCTTCCTTCCTTCCTTCCTTCCTTCCTTCCTTCCTTCCTTCCTTCCTTCCTTCCTTCCTTCCTTCCTTCCTTCCTTCCTTCCTTCCAACTGAACTAAAATGTTTTTTTGTTTGGTTTGATTCTCAGCTAGTTCCATGCTTCCCAAAGGACAGGTAAATCTTTAAATACTAGAATCAAATAATAATAATAAACCCTCTGTGGTCATGATTATCTGCAAAGTTAGATTTAGACATACTTAGATTTTAAAAAGGCTTATTTTAAAACTTTTTTTTTTAAAAAAAAAGAAACTGTGTGAGTGTTTTGTTTGGTTTCTTCCTGGATGTCCGTCTGCCCTAGAGATCCTTTAAAGGGAATTGAAATTGAAATATTAATGGGTAAATTAAATTAAAGAATCTGGTCCATTATCAGGTTTCAAGATTAATAAACAGAACACAAATCTTAACCAAAAAAAAATGAAAATACACCAAAAAGTACATGAATTAAATCAGTTTTAAATTGAGAAGAAGATAAAATATTTAGGCATCAGGAAGACAAATATGAATTATATTTATTTCAGATAACTATGTTAAGGAATGGAATTAAGTTAAAAATATGTTAAGATGGGAAAAGCTACAACAGTCATTGCCAGGGGGAATTTCCTCTGATAAAAGTGAAAGTTTTGTCTAGAACGTTATTTTTGTTTCAGACAATACATGTTTTGATAACTATGTACCATTTAAACAGTGGCAAAAACTATATCTAAATTTGTGTGGCAGGAGAGAAAAACATGAGTTAAATATAAGGTGTTAGAATATGCAAAGAAAAGAGGAAGATTGGATTTACCTGATTGAAAATTGTATTTTGTAGCTTGCTGTTTGGTTTGGGTAAAACTGTGGGTGTAGCTGAGAAATACAGTAGAAGACTTTTGGAGCTAGAAGAACGTGACCTGATATTTAGGTGGCATGGACATTTGTGATACAACAAAGTCAAGGTTAACATGGATTTTAAAAATCATTGTTGGATGTGCCATATTGAGAATATGGAATAGATACAAACCCAGGTTGTACCCAAAAAGACATCTGTGGCTCTCAGCATAAGAAGCATTTTATAAACCAGAAAAAATAGGAATATATAGCTAACGTATTGTGAGAATTGTGTCAAGAATAATATCAAATAAAATCAAGGGAAGAACTGGTAGCAGAGGGATATAGTTGCCAATGGTTCTCTTATTTACAATTATTAGAAAGACTCAAAGCAGACAAAAGTATTCACGGTTTGAACATTGTAAGGTTGAGTTTGAGATAAAATTGTGTATAAATGAGGGACATGTAATTGCTAAAATATATACACTTTTATTGAAATTGAAATTGAAATAGAAAAACAAGTGAAATATGTATGATAAAGTGAGTTAAAATTTTTGGTTACAATATTCAGATAGAACAATGTGAAAATATATGGAAGGGCTGAAATTTATATTATAGTATAACCTTAAAGATATTTTTTTATAAAATGATGTACCATTGGTAATATATCACCAGATAAATTGTTTAAAATATAAAAAGGCACTTCAAATTTAAGTTGGAAATATGAGCAACAAGAAGTGACATTTTATCTTGTTTGGTGAACATGTTGAAAGCTAGAAAATTCTGGACATAAATACAAACATTGATTCAGAAGATTTTAAGATTAATATACAGCTGAAAACAGATGTTTTTATTTTGGGATTGTTGGATAAACAATTGGAAAAAAATCATGGAACTTTGTTTTTGTACATGATAACTGCATATGCACAAAAAGGAAAAATTCAGTGCTATCCACAATGAAAGAATGGTTGGTAAGGATGGTAAAATTTGCTGAAATTGACTTTTTAACTTCATTTTAGAGAAAAGAAAATATCCACATTTTTTGGCTGATAAGAAATCTCTTATAGACTTTTTACATGAAACATAAAAAATGAACATGATTTATGTTTTTGATGATTAGACAGGATAGATTATAGAAAGTTATGCTGTAACCATAGAATAAGAAGTTGATTTATAGTTGTACTTATAACTGCTGCAAAAAAAACCCAGAAGCTACTTCTTTGCATCTTTTTTTTTAATTTCTTTTCTTTCTTGCACTTTTAGATATATCATGGATTTATTTCCTTTTTCTTTCCTTTTGTTACTTTTATTAGTTTGTATTAACTTTCATTTTCCTTTTAAAAATATTTAATTAAAATTAATTAATTAAAATTAATTATAAATATATATATAATGTTCCACATAAGGAAGGTAGCATGAGCGGCTGGAGCGAGAAGGCTAGTCCCCTTTCTAGAAGTATTGAAAGCTAGAAGAGGGTTTAAACTGCACAAATATAAGAAGATACTTAAAGATAAAAAAGGCTGTTTTTATTTTTAAGGAATCTCAAATTATGATTTTGAATTGCCACAACACAGAACAACTAAATGGGCTCTGTTAGTTTAAATCATTTCAGCTTCAGATTAACTTTGTAACCATGTAAACCAATTAGAGAGTAAAACATGTTTAATTATGTCTGTAATAGTTGAGCTATTACACAATGTAAATACTGTAAGAATGTTTTTAAAATGTTGGAATGCAAAATATCCTCAGATAATGCGTTGCTAGCTGCAAAAGAAAGCAATTTGAACCAATGACTAATAATTTAAATCGCTAGGTAAAGTGCCTGTCACCAGCCACGTATAAAGGGTAGTATTTCAAGTGGTTAGCATTCAACAGTTCAAAAATATCCACAAATTCATTTATTGCCTGCTAACACTACCTGGACAGAGGGCAGTGTTATTGCAAACCCTTGATTCTCTTAAAGGGCCGCTGCAGTGTGTCCCGTAAGGTGATACACAAGTTCTGGTTCGCACCTGCGACCCTTGACCACAAGTAACTGAACATGTACTCCACTGGGCCCACTCTTCAGCACCAGATTCACCTGTATTCAAGACAATAAGAAAAATATGAATACAATCATGAGTGTAGAGCCAGAGCTGTACTTTTTTTTTTTTTTAAAGGCAAAGAATAGCTAAGAAACATTAAAAAAAAGATAACGTATTTTTAAAATAAAAGCTTACTGGACTTAAGCATTTTTGGGAAAAAAATATATACAGTGAGTTAGAAAGTAAGTATATTTCCAAGGTAAAAGGAAAATCAGGTAACAAGTGGCGTTAAGGAACAAGCAAACCTAATCTTGTGTGTTAATTTATTTTTATAATATTTGGAGTGACTGTTGAATTATAATAGAACAAAATGAAAGCGGAATCTTATAGTTCTTTAGCTCTTTGTCAAAGAACCTAAGTGAGGCCATTTCTCCAAAGATTTTGTGGGATGGGAGAGTATGACTTTTATTGCCCATTGTGAGTGACAGTTTTAGTTTCTTGGGATGGGGAAGCTTAACTTTCTCCCTCCATTAGTGCTGATATTAGCAAAATGATGGCTGGCCACCATTTTGTATCAACCAATTGCCAAAGGCTTAACATCATTCTGACAGGCTGCAGCACATCTTAGAGAAATTTCCAAGAATAGTTTGCAAAGCAGTTTTCCCCAATGGGGGAGTGAGAAAAAGAAAAAAAAACCCACTATTTTTTCCATAAAAACTTGCTTACTTACATCTAAATCATATTTATATAGCTTTCCACCTCACAATCAAGTAACTCTGGGCGGCATACAACAAGTTTGAGGAATGTTGGCTTAGGCTTGAATGACTAAATCGTGGGCACTCCATCACTGGAGATTTTTAAGAAGAGACTAGACAGCCACTTGTCTGCTTGAGCAACGGGCTGGACTAGAAGACCTCCAAGGTCCCTTCCAGCTCTATTCTATTCTATTCTATTCTATTCTATTCTATTCTATTCTATTCTATTCTATTCTATTCTAAATATGTCAGCCATGTACAAGCATAAAATAAGTAGATACAAAAGAATGACTAAATTATAGGTGAAGAGACTTTTCTTAAATTTAAAGTATGCAATATGAGTTTTACTTTCAGACAGTTACTTTTTTTTCCTATTAAAAAGTCCCTAGTCCAAACTTTATAATGCTGGAAGGGCAAGGCTATTGAATGGTAACAGCAAGAAAAGTCCAAGATGTTACAAGGGTGCTGCTGTGCTTCAGATTCAATTCTGAAAAGGTCCTTTGGCTCAGACAAGAACGGAAATGTAGCACTGACCAATGCAATTACGTCATTTCTGGGGATCATATGGCAGCTGTGTGATCCCAGGAAACAACGTGGCTGCATTAAAAAAGGGGTAGGCAGATAAAGCACAGTTTCTGAAGCCGTGCACATCCATTGCTCTTTTCCTCTGCTATGCTTCTGAATCCTATCCTGTTTCAAATAAATACAAACCACTCTACTCTTGTGCACTAAAAAGGACCATGTAACATTTTTTTTTAGACCATGTAACATTAGTCTTTAGACATTGAATGGCATGCAATGAGCCACATTCCAAAAAGTGGGTGGGCCAAAGTAAACGAATAGATATATTCAGAACAAAACCTAATATGATTAAATATAAATCCAACTTAAATTAAATGCCGTCAATATAATAATGTTCCATATATTGAACATCGCCTTCTTTTGTCACCTTAAACAATAAAACTCTGTAATGATATTTGAAGGGGGCTTTGCTTTCCTGGGTTAATTACAAAGATACAGACAGTCACTGCTCTTATTAAGTTTCTGTCTTGCCATATAAACAAGAAATGTAAAGAATGTCTTTTTGTTAGGCTTTTACAGAAGAGGAATTCATTTCATCCATATTATCCTAAAATCAACTTAAGCTTAAAATCTAGCAGCCCTATTCATTTCATTAAGAAGTGGAGTGAGAATAATGTGAATCACTTGTGTTTGTTTATTTTCTGGTTTTAACTTGATATATGACATCTTATATGATTATGCTTAGCCTACTTCTCAACTTTTCAAATATCCTAATTCTTAACTTTTCAAATAGGAAATAATGTTGAAACCATGGAAGAATTGCTAGGGTTTTCCCCAAGCAAGAATCAACATATAGTATTTTTCTCTTTCTCTTTCTCTTTCTCTTTCTCTTTCTCTTTCTCTTTCTCTTTCTCTTTCTCTTTCTTTCTCTTTCTCTTCCTTCCTTCCTTCCTTCCTTCCTTCTTCTTCGTCATGAATAGGAATGAATGTTTGCCATTCCTATCAGGTAAGACATGTAAAATAGATTTCTGTAGTTAAAACATGGAGATGGGAACAAAACTTTACACTATCCATGGCATGGCATACTCTAAAATATATTAACCGACATTCTAGTAAGACATCTCTAGGTTCAACTTGTCTATCTGCACAGAAATCCCAGTGCTAATATGTTACAATTTTTTAAAAGTTTCACATCTAGGCAATGAGACTTTGACGATGTGGGTTCCAAAATATAGCATGACTCAAGGATTTTCACTTACTGTAGTAGTTGTGACAGGTGTTGAGGAATAGATTGATTGACAAAATGAAATTTATCTAACTAGAAAAAAATCAGCCATTATCATCAATATGACTGATATTAGATTAAAAAGCAGACAGATGGATAAGGTATCTTAAGTACAGAAAGGGATTTAAAATTTTTGCACTCGTTCATTCCTATCTCATTGCCTGCTTCAGACATGAAGTAAGTGACAACAATCTTCAAGGGGGGGGGACAGAGATATATGTGCTCCTCTGTGTTCAAAACTGGAAGCAGGGAAGAAGGGTAATATGGCTGTGTAATGTGACTATGTTAATATGAGGTAGTGAGGGAAAGGTAGGAAGCCTGCTCATCTGCTACACAAGGATTATGAACTATTAAGTGGCAAGAGTGTTAAAGATTTCTCTTGTTCAAGAGTAATGCAATGAGCTAACAGGTCTCTGTTGGGGGTAAAAAATGTTAAGGTGAGGTAAACGTAGGAAGTGTTGGGCTGCGAACAATAGATGACTTTAGGAGGGATTCGGATTTTGACTCATGCAACTGACCTATGAACTACTCTGCTGCCTGTGGAAGCTTTTCTAGGTCTGCCTTCAAATACTTCAAGGATGATTGTGAGACCCTATTGAATGATATAAACTGAGATGCAGAAGCCTGATTGGAAAGGAGAATCTGGATAATTTGGAGTTTTCCCCATCCTTCCCTGACCTTGGTCCCATAGCTTAATGATTCAGTTGAGTCACTAAATATGGCTTTGTGTACTGGGATAAAATCTGCTAGAAGAGATAGGATGGGAAGTTCACATCACATTTAAGCTACATTTGTAGCTTAAATCAGGAAGCAATCTGTTGGCTTGTTAGTGAACAATTCTAGGATTTATTACATTGTGGAATAGTTTTTTTCTCTGTGGCAAGTCAGAGGGGAACAAGCATATGACTGCACTGTTCACGTCTCAGGAGACTGCTATCCACATTGCATACACCCCAGTACCGAGCTTTGTGTACTCCATTGAATTAATTGGGCCTTACTTGGGTCAACTGGGATTTAGCTTTCACTCTTAATGGGACTGAAGACTAAGTGATGGTCCTCTTCTTTGTGTCAAATTAAAAGTTATATTAGAAGTACTTTCTTGACTGCACCAAGCCTATATAACTAAGACATGCAGAGATGGCAGCTGTGGAATACATACATATTATTTTTGTAATACACACCAGAACTCTAGAAGCATATGCTACCATCAGTCGTGCCCGAGCAAGTTCCACAAATTTTACTGAATGTACTAAACCTTTTGTAAAAAGAGGTACATGTAGCACATAATCCACTGAATTAATTATATCTTTTCCCCAAGGGACTTAACAGATATTGGACATTTTGGCGGGCCCTATGGAATCAGGCCGTCATACAATGACTTGCATTAGAACATCAGAAGATTTAATTGGTGCTTATATTCAGCATGATTTTATTTTGTCTGGAGTAGATTCCTAAGGTCTAAACACTAAGAGTGATCTGAACTATAAACAAATACAAAAGTACATTTAAAAAAGTATCCAAAGTAAAATGTATTGATTAAAATGGCCCACAAATCTATATCACACTTACCTTGATGGTAATTTTAAATTCTTAATACCTAAAGAGAGGATAATATGGAGGAAAACATAACTCATGGTTGGAGAATATATACAGTCATGCTGCAGACATGTGCTGTTAGGGCCAATGCACACTCATGTACTTTTTTTAAAAAAAAAAACATGGATCATCTTCTTCTTCCAACAAACATCTAGCACCTTAATTTAATATATTCCCCACCCACACTCTCCTCTCTTCATTAAAACTAAAATAAAATACATGATAGGGATGTAGTAACATGGTTACTTCATTATGAACCGAAACCAGTCCACGTCACTGGAAGAAAAGGGTCTTTTCTTGTTTTGAAGGTTGCATATTTGTTTGACAATAAATATCCTACAGCTTCTTCATCTACAAAGCCTTCTCAGTTCCCTTCAGTGGAAAAGGCAGGACACATATGGGAAAAACTGGTCTTCCGTTCTCCACTGAGGTGAAAGCAGCTGCCTGAAAGTAGAAAAAACTGTGCATTCACTAGAGAAAAGCACAAAATGTATTCTGGATGGAGGTGTTTCAACGTCAGCAGTGCAGAGTTATCATAACTAGGCACATGAATGCAGCATAAAAATAGATTTTTTCCCTCTTAAATATCTCTTACATCAAATTTCATCTTTCCCCCATTTTTAATTAATTTTTGTTTAAATAGAGAAATGAGTTTATAGATATCACATCAAATCCATTCTGAACAATTTTAACAGCTGCTCATAAATAACTATAAGATATGACAAATAATCAGGGTTTATCACCTATGCTTTTTTAAAAAAAACACACATAAAGGAAAATAAACAAGGAATAACTTCAAGTCACAGAAACAAATGAATGCCATTTCTAATTCCGCTTATCAATCTTATTAATTTCCGAGCAAGTACAGATAAATGTAGATGCATGTTAGAAGATTCTAATAATGCTACTGAAGGCAATACAACATTAATTTTATCACAAGAAAAGAAAAGGTTCACAGTGAATCACATATGCAATGATCAGTACTAAAAAGAAAATCAGAAATGGAAAAAGGAAGAGATGGACTAGATATTAGTAGCTGTGTTGAAAAACAGAGCATAATATTTTGCAAAAACGAATTAACCTACAATATGCAAGCTACAAGTGGTTTTGCTCCATGTTAGACAAGTGGGTTTTGTTTGAAAAGGCTGATATAAGATACTTGATTATCAAATCAGGATTTTGGAAAATACTTTGGGGAGTGGGTTTAAATATTCATTTTCTTTGAATCATAAAAACATTTACTCAAAAGGGCAGCTGCATTTATAGTGTTGTTCTCTATGGATCACTGTAAGTGTGTTGAAGTACGTGCTTGAGCATTATTTCATCTACAGGCTACTATAGCAGACTATTGCACCATTTTATGGTAATTCTATGAAAATACAAATCAGACTAAGAACCCTTGGGTCATAAGAAGCTGGCATTATATGGCTACTTGAATGTCCAGATAGGCCAAGTCCTGTTGTGATTGCAAAAGAGAGATGTGATTAAAGTTCTTTTTTTTAAAAAAAAAATCAAAATAGTACATTTTCAACGATGAATGGAGCCTCAGTTGGATCAAAGCTAAACACTTTTAAGATAACTGTGTAAGGTTTTCAACTTATAATAAAAGCAATAGGAGTTAAATTGAATTGGACTGGATCATATTGATATCTTCCAACTCAGATTTCAGGTCTTAAATTATGGTTCAGAGAACCCTGTTTTCTACCTTATGAAATTGAGAGATGATCAAAAATTATTTACATCAGAAGTTTATTTGATAGAATCATGACTGTCTACACACAGAGCCTCTACAGCCCAGGAAACATTTCACACTGAAATTTACTGTAGGACACATGGGAGAATATTACAAATAAGTGTAGAGGGCTGATCACATGGTTCTTTCCTCCAATATCAGAACATCAGTATGGAGAAAATATACCTTACCAGCCCTGTGTTTGCTGTTGCTTTATTTGTGTTCATGACCTCACTGCACAAAACTTAACCATAGTGGAGAAGTAACTGTTTGTAGAAGAAGCTCTATATTGGCCAGTTTATGGTCTTAATTTTGTGCTAGATGTTTGTATTATACTTTGAGTGACTTGGTTATATGTAGTGGGCTGTTAAGTATGTCTGCATTTAGGAAAATCAAATGGCTAGATGAAATGAAAACTGCCTTGTGTTAAGTTTCATCACTGTCCACTTAATTTAATGATTGATAGGGAGTAGCTTCTCAACTTTTTGGGGGGAGAGGGGGGAATTTCCAGCACTGTTTGGAAATGCTGAGGGTTAAATCTGATACTGTCTGCTTGTGAAGAGGATGCTCTGTCATTGAGCACAGCTTGTAATTTTTAATCATACCTCATTTCCTAATATGAATTTATAGTCACTGTGCTTAAGAAATGCAATATTCATTCTTGTTGAATTGTTAATCATAGGGAAAGGCTGGGTAAGATCTTTTGCACATTTTTCTGTATGTCCCATTAGTGGGACATACAATGGGATTGATTTCTAAGTAGACATGGGTACACTATAATACAAAATCTAAGTAGAGAACTGAGATACTCACTTGTGCTATTTATTGAAGGTAATTTGTCACCCAGTAATCTGAACTTGAAGCTGTGAAACCTCTGCCATTCTTTCTACATATTTAGAATTTTTAAACACACACACACACACACACACACACTAAATTATATATTTTTCCTGAATGTGTGATTAACTATGGTTTTTAAATTTAATAGAACTTTCAGATTAAAATAAATGCGTTTGAAAAACTTCATATTGATTGCATGTGTATTGGACACTTGTCTAAGTCTTCGATCTTTTATTTATGAGTTTTAACTGTGTGGTTAAAAAAAAAATAAGAATAAATGGCTTTTTAAAAGTATCAGCTTAGAAAACTGACAAATATGCAGCAAAAGATTATGGAGACATGCAGTGGCATTGCTAAAATTAAACACAGTAAGGAGATAAAAGGTAATTAACGTATTACCAGTTTGTGCCATAAATTTAGCAGCATCAGCTTGTTCCTGAGGGACCCTTTTTTCATGAACAGATCGAGGTCGCTGACTTTTAATTGTATGATCTCCCATCATTCCAAATTCTAAAGACAGAATAAAGGTTTATGAAAGCTTGTGCGTAGACATTTCTCAAAAAGGTCACATACTATCTCATGCAGTTGTTTGACAAAAACACCTGAAGAGGGCATTAGTAGAACATACAGTTTACAAGGCTGGGTTTTTGCTTTGTTTTATATTCTTTTAAATGCCTCAACCTGTGTTTGGAGAGAGGTTTTAATCTAAAAGTTGTTTATAAAGTTATTGTTTTAAATATATATATATATATAAATATTTCAGAATTGTGATACATGAAAAACAGCTGTGGTACAAAATCAGTTATTTAAGCTAGATACATTATATTAAGAAATAATTTAAATCAGTGCAAACCACACCAGAAAACTACTACCGACGCATTAAGTGGTGTCATTCTGCAATAAAACTTGGTGTTTCTTGCTGAGATCAATGGTTTTCCTGCTTAAGCCTTCCAACCAGTGGAAAGGCAAGGAAACTTTCACAAGAACAGTACAAATGTATCGTAATGATGGGGCAGAGATGCCTTGTGTAATCTGGATGCAACAGCAGCTGTGTCGTACTTTCATTGCTTCAGAAAATTCTCTGCTACAAAAGACATGGAAGTCCCTGGGCTTTTTTCCTCCCTGCTGTTCATTCTAAAACAGAATCACTCTTTGATTTTAATAGGGGGGGGGGGAAGCCTATCTTAAAAACTCCTGCATGGAAATCATGAGGTGCTATTTAAAACACAAGACAGCACGGCTAATTTTTCTCAGTGCCTTTGGCAAATCACTTAATCTCCAGCAGTTTAAACCTAATTTTTTTATTGCTCATAACTATGTGCCCCAACACCTTTAAAGTGCAGCATCACAACATATGGCATTATTTTAGAAATAGAAACAACTGTTCTGGCAGCATTAGCGTCAGCGTGATAGGCTCTTTTGTTCATTTCCACAAGTAGCAGATTTCATAACCCAGCAACCGGCAGGCCTACAGCAGTAATTGAGCTAAACCAAATTTCTTTGTTCTTTTTCTTAATCTTCTTTCATGAACCAGGTAACCAGGAGCTGTGGTGGCACCATGCTTAGAATGCAGTATTGCAGCCTGACTCTTCCCACTGCCAGGAGTTTGATTCTGACTGGCTTAACATTGACTTAGCCTTCCATCCTTCCAAGGTCAGTAAAATAGGACTCAGATTGTTGGGGGTCAATATGCTGACTCTGTAAACCACTTAGAGAGGGCTGTAAAGCAGTATGAAGCTATTTCTATTGCTATTTATAGTGAGTGAGCCAGTTTGGTTAAGGCATCAGGCTAGAAACCGGAAGACCATGGTTTCTAGTTTAGCTTTAGGAATGAAACCAGCTGAGTGACCTTAGGCTAGTCCAGGGGTAGGCAACCTTGGCTCTTTTATGACTCATAGACTTCAACTCCCAGAGTTCCTGAGCCAGCATGGCTGGCTCACGAATTCTGGGAGTTGAAGTCCGTGAGTCATAAAAGAGCCAAGGTTGCCTACCCCTAGGCTAGTCCCTCTCTCTCAGCCCTAGGAAAGATACAAGCGCAAACTACTTCCAAAATCTTTCCAAGAAAACTGCAGAGATTTGTCAAGGCAATAGCTAAGTCAAATATTGACTTGAAGACACAACCTTGTCCCCCACCCCCACATATTTATAACTGTTTTCATGCAAAGGTCTAAGAATATGAGAGTATACACATCTAGACACATATATACATACATAGGGAATTCCATTTGAACGCATATTAATTTGTAAAATTTAGTAAGAATAAACTGTGATGATAGCAGCAACTGTATCATCATTTTAGCTACTGCATATCGAATTCACATTTTAGGATACCTGTTCTCATGAAAACTATAATGCCTCCTGTTAGTAGAGGATACTATGAAGTTCATGTTCCCTGGGAATTTTCTTTTCTCCTTACATAAAAAATATACATTAAAATATAATGATGATAATAAAAAATCTTTTTGCATTGCAAAGAGAGTATTTTTAAAGAAATATACATTTAGTCACAGCATGATTTATTTTAGAAACAAGGATTAAGTAAAAATGTATTATTTAAAAGATGTCTGATATTTGAGCAATTATTGCGAAAATGGAGCCAAAAATGACTCATTTCAATTATCTGTGTCTAAACCCACAAATGATAATCTGGCAAGGTTAGTACTACTCTGCAGTTGGTTTCAGGTTCTGGTAGTCTATCAACCCAATCTCCAACTCCAAAATATGGTGACCTCCTGTTCCTCATCTCCATTTTTGTCACTGTTGTTTCTTGCTTTCTGACAGCTCCTCTGGGCACAGAGAATGAGCAGTCAGTAGTTATTTTTCCATCAAGTGGAAAAAGCAGCATAAAAGGAACAGGGCATCATACCTCTCACCCCATCGGTTCTGTCTGAAGTAAACCCCCCCCCCCCCAGGCAGTTAATAAAAGTCTATGATAATAATTTTCTTGTTGTCAACGCTAAGGCTGGACCTTAGAGGAAAGAAAGCAGAAATTCCAACCCCACTTCCAAGACTCTTCCAAGACAGCAGTAAGGGTCTTTTCTCATTGCATGAACTCCCAGCTAGTTCTTGAATTGTCCTTCCTGTTTTTCTTGGCAGAAGAGAAAATAGCAAGTCAGTGCCTTGCTAGCTTATCTAAGGCTCCTCCGTTTGAGAGGCACAAGCAAGTCAATGTTGTTCCAGAAAAGTCAGATTTTTTAAAAAAAATACTCTTTAAACTTCCAGTTCTGACTAGGGAACAATAACTTTCTTGAAATTCCATCTGTCAACGAACCAGCTGTCACAACTGTGTTTCAAAAACAGGACATACAGCAATATATGCAGGCTTAATGCAAAAGAGTGCAGGCTTAAGGCAAAAAAAAAAAAAAAAAAGCAAATGTTCAGTTGATCAGAGAGCAACTAGAATGATTGGGTGAGAGTGGAAATTTCTTGAATTTCAGCTGATTTCACTGGGCAACAGCAACATTTTTAGAGTGAACATTTGAAATGGCTTTTATGTAGGAAGAGTTTCCGGAGGCCTTGAGGAAAACATCATTTGGAATCATTCCTGATGAGAATAGGCCTTTTAACAGCACAATCTTCTGATAGGGTATCACAAGACTCTGCTTGTGGATACCAGACCTGTGAGGTTTCCTATCTGTAAATCGTCTTATTTGTTGCTGTCAGCATGGAACCAGCACATGTTGCTGTCCTTTTATTGTTAAGTTTCATTTCACCACAAAAAAATTTGACATTCTTTTTGACCCATATCCTTTCTTCTGAAGTTTTCTGATTCATTTCTGCCACGCAATGTGAAAGTGCATAAAATGGCTTGAATCATTTGCAGCTTCTTTTCATTTCCCAACATTTCATCTCAAGTGTTTTTTTCCCCCCATCTCTGGTAGAATTTTGTTTTCACCACTAGATGGCAGGGGATGCCTTAACTTGAACTGCAAATGAGCTGCAGTGAAATCAGAATCTCTCTCCCCCCCCCCATCCGCCCTTTTCTATCTCTCCTTCCCTGTTCCAGAAAATCAAATCCAAAAATTAGCAGCAGAATATTCTCTTGAGGAGAGCTTGAGTGAAAACAGAATCCTAAGATTAAAGACCTAATAAAGGATGAGGAAACTATGGCAATTCTGAGAGCTTTCTGCCATCCAGAAAAAAAAATGCTTTGCTAAATTAACTGGACTGACACGACTGAGGTGTCAGAGCAGATCACCACTGCACACATTCCCAGTTCTGATGTCCCACATTTAGAAGCATAATATTGAAGTCTTTGGCTTACATATTCCCACATGCAGTTGTCGTTAATAAAGTCTAATCCAGAAGGAAACATGTGAAATAATTCATAGCATGAAGGCAAAGATCTAAATAGAAATAAAACACAACAGTCACACATTGCCATGAATGATTTCATGGCATCCTGGACATTGGAGAATAATTTGGCGGGGGGAGGGGGGAATAAGAATGATAATAATTAGTATAATATAAATATTGTATAATAATAATAATAAAAATAAATGCTACAGGTGTATGCCAGTGACAAAAAGTATGATTGAAGAGCCAGAGGGCCCCCGGTTCAAATCTCCTAAAAGTCCCAATTTCAGGAAAATGGCTGAGATGAATCTGTTTCTTGTGTTCCCCTCTCTTCTCTCCTTTCAAGTTATCAGAATAATACTGACTTGGCAAAGTTGTTGCCATTATTGTTGAACTGATACATAGCTATGATTTAAATACTAGACAGCTATACATAAATAAATGTGCCAACTATGACTACAAATATGGCTACAGTTCCTCTGCTTCACAGCATAATAAATTCAGCTGGAAGTATGAAAAATTTCCTCTTAATTTACAGGACAGCTAAACTGTGCATCCTATTCCTATACATGCAAACCTAAGGCAAGTGTTGGCTGTTTATTTTATGGGAAGATGGGATCAATTTCTTTGAATTATTCAGAATGTGTTGTTAATTTTGGCTGGCTGCCTCAACACACGGACATTAATGCAAAGGTTTTCCCACCCCTCTTCCTAGTTGGGAGAGATTTTCACAAAAGCTGGTGGAAGAAGACTTAAATCCCCTTCACCCTGCAGTTTACGGCAATTTCAGTTTAAATTCCTTCCTGTCCCATCTTTCCATGATTAAAGAAACACATTAAAGCTAAGCTGATGTGGCTAAATATTAACATAGTTTAAGCCTCTTAAACTTAGGTTAATAGGTTAAATCTCTCTCACTTTCCAGTCTGTTGCCTATTGGGGTCTCTCTCTCTCTCTCTCTCTCTCTCTCTCTCTCTCTCTCTCTCTCTCTCTCTCTCTCTCTTTGTGTGTGTGTGTGTGTGTGTGTGTAGAGAGACAAAGAAAGACACAGAAAGACACACATACACACACACACACAGAGAGAGAGAGAGAGAGAGAGAGAGAGAGAGAGAGAGAGAGAGAGAGAGAGAGAGAGAACAAGAAGATGTAATGTGCTTGAAAATGGGCAGCTAAAACCTAAAACAAAATTCCTAAAACTGTTTTAATATATGCTAGTG